GTGTGTGTGTGTGTGTGTGTGTGTGTGTGTGTGTGTGTGTGTGTGTGCGCGCGCGCGCGGTGTGTTTTCTAGGTGGTGGATGCCAGGCTAGTATCAGTCTTTGACGCAAGGGAACTGGAGCTGGTGATCGCTGGCACAGCTGAAATTGACTTGTCAGACTGGAGGAACAACACCGAGTACAGAGGAGGTACGGAAGAACAGATGGAGAATAGGCCGAAGTTCACTTCAAACCTTTATGTCCTATTTTGTTATTTATTATTTTGTTAAAATCATTAAAATAATGAGGAAGAAGATAATATTTTTCTAATGTCCACAACTATTCCCATGAAATTATGTTCAGCCAGCACCCTCAGGTTCTGCTATGACCCACAACTTCTGAAAACCCACCAAGTAATAGACCCAGTCTGTATTCTATTTGATTTTTTTCCCCTAATGATAAAGTAATACGTTATTTATTGTCATAAGCGCAACCATCACAGAGACATTGGCAATGAAAGTCTTAAATCTCACAATAAAAAACATTGTCAATGAAAAACATTCAAGTAAAAAAGAGAATCTCAAAATTTCCATCGCCATAGTTACATGACATGATGTGTTATTTGTAGGTTACCACGACAACCACATCGTAATCCGGTGGTTCTGGGCAGCAGTGGAGAGGTTCAACAATGAGCAGAGACTACGGCTTCTGCAGGTGCGTGTGTGTGTGTGTGTGTGTGTGTGTGTGTGTGTGTGTGTGATGGAGAAACAGGATTGTTATTTACTAAACTTTTGAGGCGAGGTGTAACAGCGATATTTGCTCCCTCCATCTTAAGCCTTCATCTTGTTTTCCTTCTCTGTCCCGCTGCACCTACCTTCAGTTTGTGACCGGGACATCCAGTATTCCTTACGAGGGCTTTGCTGCTCTGCGAGGCAGCAACGGACCCCGCAGGTTCTGTGTGGAGAAGTGGGGGAAGGTCAGCGCATTGCCCAGGTGAACACGAAGCTCATTAAGGCTTTGAATTTGGTCATGATTTCATGCCTTCGTCATTTTTACTGTGATTTTGGAGTCCCAATTTATTTGAAAATAATTAAATTCGGCTAGAGAGTCGAAGAAACAGTTATGCAAAAGGCAGTGAAAGTAATCATCAAAATAATTACTTGAGAACAAAAGTAGAAAGAAGGTAACAGTCAGTTTTTTATATACTGTTACGTTAAGGAGGTTGTGGTGGGCTATTTATTGGAATTGTTGTTTTTCCACTTAAGTTCTTGTGCTGATTAAACAGTGCTGGTCGGAGTTATATTTGTATAACGTGATATCCCTGTGATCTCTCTCCAGAGCCCATACCTGTTTCAATCGGCTGGACCTGCCACCTTACCCATCCTTCTCAATGCTGTATGAGAAGATGCTGACAGCCGTGGAGGAGACCAGCACCTTTGGGCTGGAATGATTCTCGTCTGACCACCGGCACAAATTTCAGCTTGCCTCAGTCACCTCAATGACGAGTAGTCATCATAAGAAGAGAGGTAGCCTTTGTGATGGTTGTCCATCACAAAGGTTCAAAAAGCTGGATTTAAAGTCCAATTTCTGGTTTGTGCTTAATTTATAATGGGCTATCATTTATAACGGAGGCTGATAAGACTTTTGAAGCTGCACTCTGACCTTTTGAAATGTCCCATGTACAGAGGTAAACACTTGTTTTTTTCTTGCACCTGCACACATTTCCCACCTGCTTAGTAACACACCCTGTGATGTGACGAATGAAGAGCCACACCGCCTTTGGGACCAGAAATATTGACTGTTGGGATTTGACCAATCTGTGACCGGGATGAGTTTTTTTTCACTTTCTCTTTGATAACAGGAGTTAACAGGAGTACACATCAAAGAAGAAGCAACTACTGCCTCCACTGTAAAAGCTCAGTGGACTCAGCGGACCTCAGATATACGGCCTGTCCAGAACTGTGTTCCTTGCAGTACAGTGTCTCTTTCTGGCCTGTAGTAATAACCACTCACGCAATTAATTCTCAAAGCCCTTCGAGGACTGCCTGATATAACATTTGGTAAGGTTTTTGGAATTTTCCCCTGAACTTCTACAGCAAATTTTGGTCTCCAGACAGAAGCTTTGGTATTTTACAGTATTTTCATCTCCAAGAAAAAGTGATTTTCTAACGATGTGGCAGTGACATGTTGTGATTTGAATGTAACCAACTTTATCATGTAGATTGTGTGGGAAGTGATTTTGTACCAGATTTGGATCAACTGGCAAAACAAATATTTGGCCATCACTTAATGAGTAATTGTTTTGATGGTAAGAAAGAAACACGCACTTTTATAATCATATCCATTTATTTGGATTGTACTTGATTGTTTCTCTTTGATCCAGGTCCATTTTTCAAAGTTTGTTAAAAGTAGTCTACACTCAAGAGGCGCAGATTGAAAGAAGAATGTACATCCTAATAGGCAATCTAAATGAAGTGTCATCTACCAGTGGCGGATCGAGAACATTGGGGAGGTAATAAGTCTGTCTGGGTGGCATGGGAGGGTGGTGGCAGTGGCGGTCTGAGAGGCGATTGTTTATTTTATTGCAAAGTGACTGTTGTTGCATACGAGGCCTCTAAAAGGGGCCGCATGTTTCTATCGCAGGGACGTTTTCGAATGTCAATGCATGAAAATGACTGAAGATGAATCCATGATCATCGGATCTGGTAGGCCCCTTATCAGGGAGAACCAAATGTATCCCAGCCAGTTAATGCTGCCTAATCTGACAATAATTCTACCTTTACCGCTGCTGTGCAATCGGCCATATTTCATTTGAATCCCAGTTACACACATAGCTGTTACATGCATGAAATTTAGCAATTGGATTACAATTTGTGATTCGTGCATATGTAAATCATTGTAATGTTGCAGTAAGGGTGGGGGGGATCATTTTATCTAATTTTAGTCTTCACTACTTCGACTACTGCTGGAGTTAATTACAGTTGGTATTGATTGGCTCCAGTCCCCCAGCGACCTCTCTTAACAGGATAAACAGTTACAGATAATGGATGGATGGATATTTGGTATACTTTGTAAACACGCAAAATATACAGTAACTTAAGTTTACATGCAGTGATGTAAAAAGTACAATATCTGAAGTATAAAGTAACAGAACATTAAAATACTCAAGTTCAAGTACAAATACCTAAAATAGTACTTGAGTAAATGTAGTTTCCAATAGTTATTGAGATATTTCAGGCTGAACTAAAGTGGTTGACCAACAGACATTGCTCTCCCTTCATCCACATCACTAGCATGGCTAAAATGAAGGGATGAACGTATCAGCTCAGTTGCAGCCTGCAATGTATCTTTTTAAGCCAACGTAACAATAATGGACTGGCTCTGATTATTGGGCGTTATCAGTTACGGATTGTCTCCGTATTTCTTACTTGGTTCAGTTTGGACGGATCAGCTGTCCACCCCCACTGTGCCTCCCTTTAGATCCTGCCACGCACCCCCATATCAGAACCAAAAACTAAATCTCCAAGCCCCACTACAGCTGCTGGTGTGAGAAACACAATAAGGCAATTAGATTTTAAGATGCTATTTTAAGTTAATTTATTATGTACTCACAGAAAATGACCCTGAGATATGAAAACTGATTTTGATTAAGTCAAGGACCTACTGTTTTTCTTGTTTACACTTTTAATGAATGTACACAAAATATTACAAAATATTATTTCATGTGCAAATTCAGTTTAATTCAATTGGGATCAAATAATTCCATTTTGGTAATGAAAATGTATTATTTCCATCACTGAATGCACTGCCCTTTGTCAGTCTCACCAGAATGTACCAAAGTTTTGAGCCTGAACTGGCTGCCTCACATCCAAACAACCACTCTTTCTGTACAGTCCACCTCACTTTTGAATATGAATGTTTGTTCAGCACTCTGCTCCTAATATAAAATGTTGTTGCTCTATGCAAGCTTTCTCTTCTTCTTTCCATGTCACTTCACTCTATTTGAGTAAAACAAAGCAAGATCAAATTAAATTTATATTTTTGTCTCGTCTTTTGTTAGAACATAAAACATACTGTCATGTTCTATTGTCTATTCTAAAGAATACTTTGCTCCTGAGAGTCACACAACATACTTAACTAATGACTACCTGAATTAATCATGAATTTCAGTATTAATACTTGTTTATAAAGCATATTAACATAGTCCCCAACCATTAGTGCATATCTAAATCATTATATATATAAATGCATGAAAAATGTACATCTAAATAACTTCTTAATCATTTACTAACACTTTATAAATTACGTTATTAATCATCTACAACTCCTTAATAATTGGTTTTTAATATATATATAATACTTCATTTACAAATGGGGAATCCATCCATTATAAAGTATGAAAACACAATCACGAAACACATAATAGACGAGCTTATTAATCAAGAATAAAACATTTATAACTGTTATGAATTGCATACTAATGAGTGTTAATGTAGGAACAATGCTTTATAAATGATGAAGTGTTTACTCATACTTAACTGTTTCATAGCGTGTGGTTATTATAAAGTGTTACCCAAAAAGCTGAATCATACAGTAATAGTTCAACATTTTAAAGTTGAAATGGTGTCTGTATGTAGCAGTTGAGTACTCTCTCTTTTGCGTTGTGTTTTAATTCAGGCACACTTGATATCCCTTTGGCTCCAACCAACCGTTTATTCACTGGACAGCATAGAGTAGACACATCTGGTAACAAACAGAATCATATCAGGGTTTCTCACAGTTCCGCCTCGTGATAACAAGCTGCTCTGGAACACTCAATTCAATTTAAGTGTGGCGTCGAATAGCTCAGGCTGATGGCAGACGGGCCGCAGCCTGAGAGATTGTGGGTTCGATCCTTATGAGGTACCAGTTTTGAGGTTTGACAGGCAATCGCAGAGTCAAATACGCCAGGACACAGTGTAAGTGAGTCGGGTCGGATGGCAGACGGGCTAGAACCCGAGAGATTGTGGGGTGACCGCTTTTGAGGTTTGACAGGCCATCGCGGAGTCAAATACGTTCCAAAAAGAATTCCAAATGCGAAAGGGGCTGGTGGCGTAGTAGTGGTATTCTTGGGCAAACCCTCCGATCGTCTACCACGGACTGTTGTAGGTTTGAATCCTGCACGTTGCCAAGTGTCTAGTGCTCTGCCGGTGTGGCGGTGGTGGGGGTGTTGTCCCCACTGAAGTTTCGGAGAAATGTAAGCAGGGGGTTATGGGAAAATGGATGATGACCAGCTGAAGTTTAAGTGAGAAAGAAGTTGTCTTGACATATGTATACATATATACACATATGTATATATACACATATACACATGTATATACATATGTATATATATATATAGTGAATAATAGAGAGAGCCTTTCAGCGTGTTTCTGTGTGTTCAACCATGTTATGCAGTCAGATGTAGTGTCTGTTTACCACCAACTCAGATGCGCCCGTGCCCTTTAATTTTAGCGTATGTACGTTTCCCTTTTTAGGTTTATAGAATAAGGTGGATTGTTATAATTTATAACACACTCATGTTATATAATAACAAAATATTTTCTTATGTTTTAAGGGTTTATTTTTAATCTGCTGAGATGTAAATAAAATAAAGCCAACAGCAGTGTTACCTGCAGGTATTTTCATTTGTGTGTGATGTGTTTTTATTTATGTTAAACTCTTTGCTCTGCTTTACTGGTTTGGTCAGACAGAGACCTTCATTCAGACAAGTTATCTTTACTGACGGTGACGTTTCATGTTGAACGTCAGACGACTAGAAGCATGAGTGAGTGGTTTGACACGAGGTGCACTGGAGTAAGAGCATGATTATACTGACACCGTTATTTATTGAATGGAGATCTACTTCTGAGTGAAGAATGCATTCTGAATCACAACACCAAACATCTGACTGAAGCGTTTTAGTACTGTAGCTGGTCGTGGAGAAGTAAATATGATCCACTTTAGTTTAATAACTGTTGAGTTGTTTAATCTATAATAAAAAATCATGTTTTATCAAATCATGTAAAGTAAAATGACCTTACCTGAGCTGTGAGATAAAAGGCAGACACTGCAGGAAACTCCTCACTTCACTCTCTTCATGTGAGCAGCCTCTCAGCTTCACTTGTTACTTCTCTGGTTGGAGTTTCAGCACTTCCAGGAGGATGGAGGTCTTTCTCTCTGAGAGGTCTATGGACCAGACTGAAGGAGCTGACTGGAAAAATGGCCTCAGTTTTGGAATGACAGCTGAAAACCCTTTAGTCTCGACATGCTGATAAAAGTCAAAAGTCTTCTTGCCTTTCTTGCTCTTTAAGTTCTTGACTTTAACTGGAGAAGAAATGTTTTGTGTGTCTAACACAAGTGGCGTGTACGACAGATCGGGCTTATTGTTTCCTTCAAACTGATTTTTGTTTGCCGTCCAAAACTGATTTGATATTTTCCGTGCTTTTGACTTCAACTTTTCCTGATATCTGTGGCACGGCCTTGGGCCTAAAATAAAAACAATAGTGAGTAAATAAATATACTATATATATATATATATATAATACTACAGCACAGTATTTGCACACACCCATTAAAGGGTAACTTCGGTATTTTTCTACCTGGAGCATATTTTCCCATGTTTTTGTGTCCAAGTGACTAACGGGGACAATATGTTTTAGTTGGTCCAGTATCAGAGAACTCTGGGGGTACCCTGATATGTCAGATATGTGTAGTGAATTAAAAAACACAATATTCACCTCCGAGTAGTATAAAGTATAAAGTATCAGAAAATAGAAATACTCAAATAAAGTTTAAGTATCTCAAATTTGCACAGAAAATGTTTGACAGCTATAGTTACTGTCCATTGTATTTGTTATTCTTGTTTTGTTTCTTACCTATTTGTTACGCGTTTAAAATAGATAAATGACAATAAAGTGGAACAATAGTTGTCTACATGAATAGTATATGACTGTATGAAAATAATGCACGAAAGGCATATTGCTTGTTTTCATTCTCTCCTTTCATTTCGTAAGTCGTAAATGTGCAAAATGTACAAGAGAAAGGGAGGACTTTTTTTGGCATTCATTTTGACGCTTCATATTTTTTATGTGTCCAGCTCCTCTTCTTTTTTCTGAATCCTAAGCTAAAGGAGATAAGAAAGGAAGCATTGAAGCACATTGACGGTGTGATCACATTACAGCCTGTTCAGCAGCTGACGTCTGCAGCGTTCTCCCTCAATACTAAACCAGTTTAAAACACTATAGTTCCCATTAGTCACAGAAACATGGGTGAATAGGTTGAGCAATACCAAAGTTACATCACATCAGCCCCATAAAGCTAAATAATAAAGATGTTACACACTATCAGTTAGAACTGGGCTTTCACATACCTTTTAAGTAGCTTGCGTCTGTTTGTGAGTCTTCGTTGAAGGAAAAGCAGCTGATCCAGTAGTGCAGGTCAAACTTCTTGGTCTCAGGAGAAGCTGCAGTCGTTTTCTTCGGGAGAAGGGTTGTCCTCCCATAGTTCCTATTTCTCGTCCCGTCAACAATCCAGAGGAACTCGTAGCAGGCTGCTTCTCCCTTTCTTATGACCGAGTCCAGTATTTTTCTGCGTTTATCGTAGTCATTGTGCTCTGCCTCTATTACGCAAACCTCCTCATTACTCAAAACATGTTTCTGATTCAAGTTCTCCAGAATCACTGAGAGATTCTTTAATTCTTCCACGAGATACACTCTGGCATTTTTGACGTAATCTGAGGCAGACTGTGTTGTACAAGCCATGTGTCCTTACTTCTGGGTGTTCTGCACACAGATCCAACTTCAATGATCTGGAGAACAAAATAAAAGCTTACATAAACAGTTAATTACAACAATGATTCTGACTGTGATGTATGAACTATTATGTCTCTCAAATCTTTCAGAGTAACTTGTCTAAACATCATGCAGCTGAAGCAACATTTAAAAGTTTATCAATTCCAACATGTCTTTCTGAAGATTGTGCTTCCCAAGATAAGAGGGTGGGGAACCAAACCAATCCGTCTCATATTTACAGATCTATCTGCACACTACATTTATATCGTCTGCAGAACAGGAAACTGCCTCATTTCCTCAATGTTGTGCCTTTAACTGAAACATGCTTAAAGAAATCTGTGCCTGACTGATATGTAATAAAAATACAGATTTTTTAATATTTAATATATATATATAATTGGTATTTCTCGACCCAGAAATATTAAGTAATTTGTTCTCACTGATTCTCTTTCAGCCCTGACAATTTAGCTTCTAAGCCTTCTCCCTAATTTGAGATTGGAGAACGTGCACATCTTACAACCTTTAAAAGAAAACTTAACAGTTTGTACTAATCACTTTTTGCATCTTTTAAACTGCACAGAGAAGAATACTGAGACACTTTGAGGAAGTACTGGGATGTTAGTGAACTCAAACAGTTCTAAATCTGAAATAAAGAGCTTTACATCAGCTACTAAAATAAGGAAATGGACATACTTATAAACATTCTAATCATGAGTCTAAAATGATGAGTCTTTGGACAATCCCACGTAGCAACAAAAGAGTAGGCCTCTGTGGTCTTGATCTCCCTTTAAAAACACAGTTCTTCTTCTTCCTCACTAGAACAGCGCTCTACAACAACAGTCCATGAGCAGTTACCTCTCCAGTGTGGCCCAGTGGGAGCCTCTCATCGCTCGGTGAGGTGGACTGGGTTTCTCTCTGTGTCCGCAGGTCCAAACCGAACAGCCTCGTTCATGCATGCACGTCTGTACGTTTCCTGCTCCGTTTTTACTTTCACTTCCTCAGACACTCTCGATGCTGGAAGAGGCCACAAGCTGTCGCTATTGGACCAGCTGAGAGATGAACTCCACACTCTGAACCACCATCTAAACAACTCAATTTCACATCCCTCTGTGTATGCAGACTTGTAATTTTGGCATGTGTTTTATCATTTTAAAACATATATCATCTCGTATCATCTCATTTTGGGTTTCTCTGGTTTCATAAATCTCCCTTTGAATTAAGTGTTAATTTAAAAAGTTTAATCAGTCAAACATGCAGAACATTTAAGTGCAATAAATCTTGTTGAGAGTTCTCTTTGAGGATGCAAAAAACATTTTGCATGGCGCAGGAATTGAACTTTTTGGAGCATTTAAGGTCGATAACGAGTAGCTAGGCAGCTTCTAAAACGTGCAGTTTCCCCAGATTATTAAAAAATAATCACATCAACTTTTGACCAGAAAAATATATCACCACTTTGATGATCATATAAAGACAAAAACTGGAGATTTGAACTGTAAGAGTTGCAAATAAACAAGAGATTAGATGAACATTTGGTCTACAAAATAAATCACGAAACAGCTGCTTCACTTTTTGTCCCATAATGATCTTAGTAGTTAGATTCTAACTTTGGGAGAATGTTTAATGTTCACAGGCATCTATATGTCTTCATATTGTCTGTGTGAACAGAATATACATATTGTTACAGTTTAAGAACATGACTATAGGAACAAGAGCGTCACTCTCTCCAAAGAAAAAGAAAAAACCTCGTCAGTTCATCAACTCTTCTTTGTTTTCATTTCACAACGAACTCAAAATTTCTGTCTTAATCTCAACTGTTAGAAAAAATATATATTAAACTCTGTTAGTACACAGCTCCCACAAGACAAAAACATAAAGTGCTCTGTGCCTCATAGTGGAGGGTTTGGAACAACACGGAACGCAGATTGGACAAGTTACAAAAACATGAACTACCACTGGTAGAGTTTCAACATAAATAACTCAGAAATACTGCATGCAAACTCCTGCTAGAATGAATCTCTAATGTACCAATGCCGCTGCACAGAAAAACACAATCAAAACAAGAAAATAGAGGAAACGTCCCATTAATTCAAAGTCGTCCTGGTATTGGGTAAAGAGTGAAGTGGTGGTCCAACATGAAGAGCGTTTGTTTCACTTCCCTCTTTGCTTCAACACCTTCACGAGTTCAGTCGCGGCCTGATGTCGACAGAGACCAGGAACATTTTGTTCATTTAATAAACGCAATACAAAGAAATCAATGACAATTAACTTGCATGCATTTGCTTTGTTATTTCTCATCAAACCGTAATAAGTAAAAACTTTTTAATGTTTATTCTTTATGCTCCATCCAGTAGACACTGACCTGCGAGGTATTTGGCACCGACTAACATCAACATGCTGCCCATGATGTAGAGGCCCAGGGGGATGCTGCTGAAGATACTCGTCTCACCTTTTGGTCATTTAAACACAGAGAAGAGCAATTAAACAACAAAACAAACACACCATGAAAAAATGAATTTGGCTCGGCAGTGAGCGCTAAACTTCCTACCGTTTCCATTACAGACGGGCTCCGTCGTCTCCCAGTTCATGGATTTCTGAACCGCCTTCTTCCACCGAGCGTACCGAAACTCGCTCTCTGAGAACACACAGACAGACCTTTTACTTTTCAAAGTGGCGGCTACTGATGACTTTGCCAGACAGCGGCGGCTCACCGTACCTTCGGGGTTGATCTGAGGCTCGAACTTCTCGGAGGTGACTTCACTCAGGTCCTCTGGGCTCAGGCTCCACACACTCACCCCCTCTGCTGCTCCTGCTGCCATCGCTGCACCGAGAGCTGTGGTCTCAGGCATGGACGGCTTCACTGCAAACAATCAGTTTAATCACTGCAAGTTTATTTATTATGTACCCACAGCTTCCCTTTGGCATCACACTCATCTGTTTTGACGCACTGAATACAGCAACAAACATGATAAGACATGAATGGACAACTTACCAACGGGGATGCAGAGGATGTCTGCCTGCAGCTGCATCAGCAGCCTGTTGGACGTCATTCCTCCGTCCACCTGGAGCTGAGTCAGCGGGATGCCGCTGTCCTGGTTCATAGCGTCCAGTATCTGCATTCAAACACAAATATCACAATTAGTATTATATTAGTTTACAAAAATGTAGCTTGTGCATCATGTGCTGCAGTACCTTTCTCTGATGACCAATTAGAGAAGCAGCTCACCTCTCTGGTCTGGAAACACACAGCTTCCAGAGCAGCAAATGCGACGTGACTCTTATTGGTGAACTGAGTTAACCCACAAATGATCCTGTGAATAAGAGAGGACGGCTGCGTGAATAACTTCAGACGATGATTTCATTCTTAGCTGCGCTGCGGAGTAGATCTTCGACTTACCCTCGAGCACTGGGCTCCCAGTACGGAGCATAAAGACCTGAAAAAGCAGGAACAAAATAACAGCCGTAGGATGTACCGACTGATGCAGCCAGCTTCTCTGCAACGGGAAAGAAACAGAAAAAGGAATTGGAATGAAGGAGAAAAGGGTTCACCAAAAGTAAATCACAACACATAAACAGACCCGTGTTTCCTTAAATATAAAGACTCAAGTAATCAGTGAAGCAACGTCAGAACTATTTCATATCCAGGCACACTTGGGGATAAAAGAGTCTGGAATCATTTTCTTGTACTGTCCTTGTATATCTTTGATACAGATTAAATGACACAACACTCCTGAAGATGTCACGTGTGATTCTTCTTTAAAGACCGGCACATACCGAGCTCTTCAGATGATCCGATGATCCCCAGATTGTCCTGCAGCCAACGAACCACGGCTCCACAAATGGCCACAGAGCCCTGGCAAGAAGCACCCGAAAGAACATCTTTTGAGATTATACGGAACTTAATGAAAGGAATATTAGTGCATTTAAGATACTGTACCTCGAGTGCGTAGCAGGCAGGTTTGTCTCGACCAAGTTTGTAGGCCACAGTGGTCAGAAGGCCGTGGTCAGACATTACAGGCTGCGAACGACAGAAGAACAATGCCACTGTGTGCAGAATGTGCTCCGATGTCACCGTTAAAATGAAAATCTGTAGTATTGTACCTTGGCTCCTGTGTTTCGCAGGAGAAAGCAGCCAGTGCCATACCTGAAAACACAAAATACATCAAACTACTGATACTAGAACCGACACATCTGAAGAGAATGAAAACACACAGAGCCACCTACGTGTTTTTAGCCTGCCCTTCCTGAAAACACATCTGTCCAACCAGTGCCGCAGACTGATCCCCAAGACACTGTGTTGAATTCACACATAAATCCATCAGGTGGCGCCATTGAATGCCTCAAATACTTCAGAGATTAGATGGAGAAAAAACACTGGAAAGTAAAACTAGAGGTGAACTTACCCCTGAAATAGGGATACCGGAGAGAACTCCAGATTTCTGCCAAAAGAAAAGATGAACTTGTTTAATAAGAGTCCCATTAAAAGAGCATTTTGATTCAGAAATCAGTTAAAAATGTAACGATTAAAACATGCACATTTGTAGCTAAAATATCAAATCAATAGCAATAATTAAACAGAAGTCAGTCACCAATCATTTGAATCACTATGAGATACTTTGACAACATGAGGCCAAATAACACAAATATACAGACTCTAATTCTACCTTCTAGCGGCGAGTGTGAACCTCTAAAATGTGTGAACCTCTAAAATGTCTTCACTCCTACACGTGAGGCAATCTCTGTTTAAGTTATAGATGTTTAAAGAGAAAGGTTGATTCAATAAAAACTGTGCAAAAGAGTGAAGAGATTTCGGGACGTTGCAGAGGAGGAGGGCCCGTCAATGACAACCAGCCGAGTGACATGCCACCACAGAAGCAATGAGGGACGGGGCGCCTCCAGTACATTTCCAACATGTACGCACTCGTGTGTTGCTGGGTCCAAAATCACTGAACAAAGAATGTTTTTTTACACACTAATGCCTGTGATCAAGCCGTGTCCCTGCGGTCTGTTTGGTTAAACTGTTTTGGGTTTGCACCAACTCTTGTGTGAAATATCCGGCTCTTGAGCAGCTAAATGCTCCACCATGAATCAGCGTTTTGCATGGAGGCTCCGTTCACATAATGAGCGCCACTGGTGCTCAAAATACAGCTCAGCTACTGAGGCATAAGCCTTCACATGAATCTTGGAAATGCACTGAGTGACGGCATGTCCGCCTTGGCCTCAGAAAAGCAGGACAGGTTGCTGTGCATGATGAGGAAAATGATATGATGGCGAGTATTACTTACCCGGCTAGAACAAATTTTCTACCAGTGAGAGAGGGGAGACAATGGCACACAAGATAAAAGCCTAAAATAATTTATCAGTCCACCCTCATGCACGAGAGTCACACTAGACACAGCAATGACAATATTAGGATAACACAATTAATATGATAGACTCATTGTAGGAAGATTGTGAGTAGAGTTGACTTCATATGCATGCATGCTTACCATGAGACCGTAGATTTCTGAAGAACTCCTCACTCGGGGCAAGATCTCCATGGGAATACCAAAATACCTGATGGGAAAGAGCAGCAGCGTCACAATGATTGAGCCAATTCTGCTTTCCAGACTATTTCTATTTATGAATGAAAAGGCAAATGACAGACGGATGCCGTACGTGCAGAGTTCTGGGTCCCAGTCCAAAGTGTGGATGTTAAACAACATGGTTCTGCTGGCGTTGGTCACATCTGTGCAGTGGACTCCGCCTGACTTGCCCCCGGTTAAACACTGTGTGACCGCCAATTACAAAATACACACAAAGAGTCAGTTTCTACACCTGTCAGCTCCGGGTTGTCACCATCATGACACCTACACAACCGTTACTTACCCAAATGAGCCAGGAGTCCACGGTGCCGAACATGGCGCGGTGAGACACGACGGCCTCGTGGACCTCGTCCACGTTGTCCATCAGCCAGCGGAGCTTCACTGCGCTGAAGTAGGTGCTGATCGGGAGCCCCGTCTTATGCTGCGGGACGACAATAAACAACTCAGCAAGGTGCTTGAATTAAGAATGACGCATTACGATGAATGAACAAGAGAGAGCAGAGCGTGACTCACCTTCAAGTGGTTCTTATTCTTTCCTGGAGTTTTGTTGATTAGACGTTCAACTGTCGATTGAGTCCGCAGGTCGAGCCAAACTGAACAAAAATCAATCAATCTGCTGTTTGTGTCCACATCCAGACCGCTTACATTAGTAAAGAATGTCACATCTGTGCCAGGATGAATGGAAATGAAGGAAACACAACATCACAACTTTACCAATGGCATTGTAGAGGGGCTCCCCCGTCTCTTTGTCCCAAACAACCGTGGTCTCTCTTTGGTTGGTCACTCCAATAGCTGGACAGATTCAAGCAACAATTTCCTAAGATTTCAGGTCGTTAATGCATCTTTGAAAGAAATGAAAACGTGTGAGTGAATACCTTTAATGTTCGAGATGTCTATGTTGAGCTGGGTGAGCTTTTCACACGTCCGCTCCATGCACTCGTACACCGACTGCAGAATTTCTTTGGGGTCTTCCTCCACCCATCTGAAAATAAAAGGGCAAAAAACCCAGTAAATCAGATCTACACATTTCTAAGTTATGTAAGCATCTTTCAGGAGTTGTATCGGAGCTTTTCACGAACCCTTCTTTGGGGAAGCTCTGTTTGATTTCCACCTGATGATGGCTGAGGAGCTCTGCTGTTTTTGAATTAAACACCTTCAAAGGAGAGAAATGGCAGAAGGAAAAGATGTTAGCTTCAGCCAATAACACTTTATTCTTCAGTCATGCAGGGAAAGCTGAACATGCAGTAGCTCTAACTCCATTCTGAATAGTTAGATTACACCAGTTGTCATTTTATGACTCACGCCACCAGAACATGAAACACAAACCTTCAATAATTAAACACGCTAACAGTACAATTATATTAAAACAAAGTAGTCATTTCTGCAGTTTTGTAGGCTTTTGGCACATGTCTTCAATTGGCACAACCAAAAATATCTCAGCATGCGTCAAGTAGCATTTAATTTACTCAACTCTAATGAGAACTGAATACACTTGTGTTTTGCTATTCTTGCCATGGACTAAAATGTATCAATAATGGTTAAATAAACTAGTTTAGCCACATTTTAATGGCAAGATACATGTTTTAAACGGTATTATGTATGGTCAAATTACACCATTTGTCTCTACAACCAGAGGGCAAAAACCACACGCTCACTTATGACAACAGAAGCAGGCAAATACAGCCAAGGACACCGTCAGTGAGCCACACATTACCAGAAACCGCGTGGAGCTCGTGCCCTGGTCGATGGCTGCAACCAACGGTCCTAACGTTATCCGGTGAGAGGATGCGGCCATGGCGCCGTTCATGGGCAACACGAAGAGCTTCACCACTGGATTAGAAAACCGATTATCAACATCGACAAAGCGGCTCAAGCGAAAGGAGAGACTAGGGGGGGCGTGGTCCGTCGCGGAGTTCCTACGCACTATTCGTCCTTGCGCACAATGATGACGCGAACCAGTCTGTGCGACAGTGAAAAACAACAAAATATTGAAACAAATGAAACATTTCTTTTTTAAGTTTTTCTTACTCCAAAACATTCTGACAAGTATATTGCAGATTATCTTTAAAGAATAAAATTTGGGGTTTGGTTTCTTTATAAATCCAAGAAAGAATACAAATAATTTCGTATAATATATTTGATAATGATGTTGGCAAGAAAAATGTATTCATAAATGTAATTTTAACGATAAAAATAATAATTTGCTCCCAAGAAGAAAAGAGAGATTCCCATACCGGGAGTCGAACCCGGGCCGCCTGGGTGAAAACCAGGAATCCTAACCGCTAGACCATATGGGACGGTACGCATCTAAGAAATATAACATTTACTAAATAAATCTACGCACCAATTATGATATATAAATGTATAATTTACCATGCGTTGTCGTTCGAGATGAACTGCGCAGGCGGCAGCAGCAGGGGCGTTGACAAAAATCTGCAATAGTTGCCTGCAAAGAATAAACAGGAAGTCACAGATAGTTATTTCCTGTTAGATCCGATCTGTAGGCTACTTGTAGTTTACAGAACTCAATCGGATTTATTCATGTGTTTTTGTAAATATATATTCATGTGGAAATGTACATGTACCTGCATTGTATTCTATCTTTTGTTCTTTATATTTGGCGTCAGTAATATCATTATTTTTAGAAGATATGTTCAGCTTTTAACGTACTATAGCTCAGTTTTAATACTGATAAGAATATGCAATTGGTTTATCCCAAAGCAGTTTAAAGTATTGATCATTTGTTAATATGTATTACTCATTTATAAAGCTATTGCGTTATTTAGGGATTTACCATGACACAAATACATTATTCAATATTTTATTAGGAAAATAAAAACCTCTATACACAAGCGTACATTAATATTTACATTCAAATAATATAAATAAGTATATTTTTAGCCTGCAAGCCTGTAAACTCTGTACTCCTCTTTCTCACATTTTCACAAGACACATTTTTATGCTGTATTTTTTTTCATATCATTTTCTTTAGTCATTCATTATTAATTTCCTAATTTAATGTTATTATAAAGGTTTTCATACACTCATGGGGATTTTGGTGGGACAGACATAAACTGGCTACAACAAACCGTCTACATGGATTATGTGCTAAAAGGCTCACACCATCAAACAATGTCTTTAAATCCTGGTTTGATGGAGACAACCGACTCAGTTTGTAGATATGTTGTCCAAAATCTTCGGAATGGCAGAATATATTTCCTTTTAAACTGAAGTGTGGCTGAGATGTAGTGACAGTAAATATCCACAAGGGGGAGACAAGTGAACATCCAATAATGATCCCCCGCTCTCTCGTCTTAATGAATGAAGTATTAATAGCTGATAAACATGCTGACAAGACTTTGCACATTTTAATTAACCGTAAAACATATTCAAAACGTTGATTAATTGAGTTCCAGAACACCATTCAAGCCTTTATTAGTGTACACCAAATATGTTGCACTGAATAAGGATTAAAGTGTGTTTTGAGGTCTGTAGGTGATGCTATTCCAGTCACAGTGTTGAATAGCTGCACAAATAGCTGATTTTATGCACTTTTGCTGACACCAAAGGGAAACTGTTTATTTCATGTTCAGAATTTGCAATTGCATTGCTTATGTATGGTATTCCCAAGATGGCCTTTACAAGTCACCACAAAGCAGTAGGAAGCATCAGATAAATGCTTGATCAGTAATAATTTCAGGGGTCAGGAAAAAAAAGTTCCCCTAAAAAAATCCAATTACAGTATTATACAAATTCAAAAGTCACTGGCCACATTCTGTGACCACATACCAGTGGTCTTATCCTACAGTACGGAGACCAATCTGTCCTCTTGAACAGGATTCACATAGCGCAGGAAATAATGCAACAGTAAAAGTTTGGAGCCTCATTGTTGGAACTGTCTTACAGAATAACACCTGTGAAGACAAGTTCAATTAGAAGGAAGGATAAAAAATTTATATGAAATATAAAGTGCAATTATCGCTGTTATTGAGGGCACAGCCTAATTGTGATGCTCTTTGACAGACTTTTTAATTTACTTGTACTTGAACAATATAAAAGGTGGACAAAATGGAAGTGCAAAAATCCCCTGAAGTTCCAGAGTTTTGGGGGAAACTACCTGCTGTGCAAAATGGACTCCGGTGCAGGTCATCTTCTGTCTCTCCCTCGTCTCTGTGCTGCTGTGTCTCGTCCCTTCTGCCCTTTCCTGCTTTGCGAGCTCGCGTGTGTGCTTGAGTGTGTACTTGTGTGGCGTGTGACAGTGGCTGAGTGAGGTGAACCAGGATAAAATGTGACAGATGAACACATTTAGACTGCCGCGTCCATTAACTTAGTGGATGTACCTACACACACCTATCTCTCATCTGTAATTGCCGTGTAGGTGCTGTTTGGAGAGCGAGCTACTAGTTACAGCCAGTTCATTCCTTTCTCGTGTGCACGGCTGCTTGAATTATGCATTGGATTGTAAATGAATGACAACCCGTTTAATTACATACCTCGTCTTACTGCTTATTCTAAGTTACCTGTCTCTCTAATGCAGCATTCTTGCAGCATTTTAACAAACCTGCTTTCGCCGCTGACAACATTATAATCTGGGAACAAATGTTATTTGAATAAATTAAACAAAAAGCATCAAAATGTAAGCAGTTGAGATTATCTGCCTGCATGTGATGATTCTATTGAATGTGTACTTGTCTGGCGTGTGACAGTGGCTGAGTGAGGTGAACCAGGATAAAATGTTACAGATGAACACATTTAGACCTTCTGTTTTTGTCTGTAATGAACAATGTCATCTTGTTTATCATTTTTTGAGTCTCTCTCTGTGTGGACTTGACCCATAAAGCTTAACAGAAATGTTCACGTTGTATCAATTGGAGAATAAAAGCTTGAAGGCCGCTCTATTGTATCCATTCATGTGCGTGTTCCACGTACCTCTCTGTTCGATACTCTATACCCCCCCATGTGACAGGACTCTCAGGGGGCAGCTCTATTGGGAATCAGGGGTAAGCAGAACGTTACAGGTGTGTGTGTGTTTTCATCTCAGGAGCTGTGACCCAGAATAATACATGTTTTCATCCCCTCATATTCCTTCCTCTCATAAATTCAAGTGAGTGTTTCCTATGAAGAAGGACCACAGTTAATCATTCTCAGTCTATTATGTGAATACATGTTCATGTGTCTCATCCACCATTTGTCCCCCATGCAAGGACAAGGAGCAAGGGACACATTCACATGCACAGAGTGGGACTGGCAGAGATGGATGGGGAGGTGGGCAACAGAAGCAGAAAAAAAGCTGCATTGGGTTTTGTACGCTTGACTGACTTCAATAGAAACATCACTGAAAGTAATTTAGATGAGTGGTTTTACGTGTGTTGCACTGCATTTAACATTTAATTACCTTATACAGCAAACAAATTAGAACGGACGCTGAAAAGCATCTTCACCACGAAACAATCTGTGTGAAAATCGTACTTGCGTTACTACTGTATGATAGAAAAGCACACAGGATATAATATGTTACCGTTGACGGAGATAAAGTGACATTATGCCCTGCAGTTTTTAGTTCTCTTTACATTTAAAGGTAACCAGCGTTCCAATTCATTTCAGAGATTTTAAACTAGCTTTAGACAGGTGATACATCCCATTTAGTCACCTTTATTTTCATGTGACCCTGACAAAAACATGTTAAATGTTCTTTGTTTGCACATTTAGTCCAAGGAAGAGTTAACTCCTAGAAATCAACCTTGATTTCCAGCATGTTCCACTAAATCCCATCTCTCTGTAGATGCTCGAGCTCCCTTGAGCAACAAAAGTCTCAGCATTTTCATTCTATATTTGCAGCAGCCTGCCAAAGCCGCTGGCTGCCTGAGAGGAAGCAAATCAAACTTTAAGTAAGAACTGAACATCATTTAAAGGGATTCACTTTCCTCCCATCCACCTGTCATCTCGCCGCTCTACGTATCCTCGTATCTCTTCTTTAACTTTTGGCCCCCTCGCATTCAATCCCCTGTCTCCTCCTTTCCCTCCCTCTCTCTCCCTTTCGCCTCTTCCTGTCCTCCACTCACCACTCTGTAGATGGTCCAAGTGACATTTGGCTGTCCCCTGCCTCGAGGGGGTCCAGGAGATGCAGACGTTTTTGGCAGGCGGGCACAGGGACGCCTAGGGGTCCTGACGGGGACTCCTGGACCAGGAAGAGAAAAAAAGTACACATCATAAAATGCACCCGCAGTCAGAAACACACATACGCTCTCGGGTGCCCATGCATAAGCAAACAATTGCACAGACAGTGGAGAGCTCACGCCGACACACACACACTGACACATGTAAATGCGTGTGCGCACAAACACTCATGCAAACATCCAACCAATCAAACATGTATACCAATCAAACACCCGTAATGAAGACACAGTGGACGGTAAATGTGAGAAGGCGAGGGAAGCTGCCCCCATGGAAAAGTTTGTGAAACAGTGAATAAACTGGGATTTGAATTGGTAAACTAGTGAGCTTCAATGTGACTGCCTGGCTTCATTCCCGGTCCTCCCTATAGTCACAACTTTATTTATTACTGCTTTTTATGCTGGGAGTGAAATCTGATACGAGAGCAAATTCAGATGACACAATCAAACAAAACCAGACGGACATTTGCGTCTGACTTGTCGAATATGAATGTTTTATCCCAAATCCCCAAACTACACTTTCATCAGTCACAAAGATGCTGGTATCTAGTACAAAGACTGAACAGAGTACAAAACAGTTGATAGGGAATGAATGGGAGTTCCTGTACATGGCACTCTTCTTCTCTATTGCTTTTGAGCACCAGAGAAATTCCAGGTGTTCACATTCATCCATAAACCAAATACAGGCTGAAAAGTAGCAAAATATAGATGAAAATGCATGAAATTATCGCCAAAAGACTTGTTCAGATGGACAGTTTTGGTGGTGTGATTGTCCCTCTGAGGCCACTTATCTGTCTTTACCACCCCCCCCCCCCACACACACACACACACACACACACACACTCTCCTCTGTCTCTTCAGAGCGATATGCTGGTCATCGGGGGAGAGACGGACGGGCTAATTGCCGGGTGCCGGAGCTCGTCGACGTGCCACTGCCCGCTGGCTTCTGGCTCAGCCATAATTACCTGGTAGCCGCAGATGTTTCACGCCATTGTTGTACACCCAGACAGAAAGGAAGGGACGGATAGATGGACGGAGAGGTCATGTAAAGAGGGGGAGACAGAGGCCTGGTTCCCCTCGCCAAACTTCTGCACACGCGCAAAGAAACAGCGACCAGACGGCATTCATCCTACCATCTTTTTTTTTTCCAACCCAATCTTTTATTCATCTCTTTCAATCCATTAACAAACCAACCCTTTTATATTTGCACCTTGAGTGTTGATAATTCTTTGTGTGTGTGTGTGCGCGGGGTGCAGCCTTCCCACTGAGGCAGAACAAAGTAGCATAATAACTCAGACACTGAGCTGACCCTTTCTGCTGCTCTGGAGCTGTGTGTGTGTGTGTGTGTGTGTGTGTATTAGCATGTATGTGCATCCTCGTGTGTCTATTTGAATACGACTGCTTGCACTCAGCCGACTGTGTGTGTGAATGTGTGTGTGTGTGTGTCTGTGTGAGTTTGTGCTCGTGAGCATCCCTATGTATGAGTGTATCCTGTGTGCTCAAATAGCTGACACCCTCCAGGGGTGAATTGTTATGGATGCTGTTCTGTTGAAATTACTGTTATTTGTTTCCTTTAAAACAAGCTAATTGCAGCATAGCGGGTTGCTCTGTGTGTGTGTGTGTGTGTGTTCATGTATGCTC